TTTTCTCAAAAACGGCTTAACCGATTTTAATGAATAAAATATATGTTATGGTATTCGATGAAACAAATATAGAAAAAAAATATCAAGTGTATTTACTAAAACAATAGTTTAAAAAAAAATTTTCAAAGAATTAAAAAATTTTTTTTTTTAGGTTATGTTTAAGTCTCAATCACAGTTTTTGGTCTTGAAGTACCTTTGGTATCCCTCTAAATTATCCCCAAAGGCCAAAGCAATTGAAGGGGTAGCACGTACTTTTAAAAAATAAAATCCTTGAAAATGTGTATAGTGAGGCTCTACGGTAAAAGGGACCTTAGCTGCAGAAAAAAAATTTTGAGATTTTGATATCAATCGATAGATTTTGATTTGCTCTTTTACATACAAAAATAAAAAACTGTTTATATCTGTCAGCTTTATTAACAACCAAGCATGACTCTATCATTCAAATACCTACTTGTGGGTTCAATTTCAAACGTCCGGCCTGTAAAATTATATTTTGTTTATTTTTATTTTTTTTGTTTTTTGTTTTGTTGTTTGTCTGTTATTTTTCTTCTAATCTTCGTCACTATCCTCCTCTATGACGGGAATAATCTTGGTTTTGTCAAACATCTCACTGAGAATATGTGCCGGCTTCAAAATTTTGGACAAGTACCTTGCGTGAGAGAGGTAGTACACAATGGCAGCAATGTGTGAGCAACAACCAACAGTTCTATTTCCGTTTGCGCAATCACATACATATTCCAGAATTCCTGCAATCCCATTAGTATTGGGCTTATATTTAATAAAACATTTGTATACTTTTCTGGAGATATGGCGTGATTGAACTTGCACTTTCAATACGTTTGACTGATCTTTAACGTATTGCATTGTTATTTCCCCGTCTTGGTTAGTCATTTCGGCTAAGTACGATATTGCCTGTGATAACTGATAAGATCCAGTAAAAAAGATCTTTAAATCTTTTTCAGTAAGTTCTGGAAAATCCTGAATATCACTGGACGATATACTTTGGAAAATAACTTTCTTACGGAACCAGCCATTTTTCTCTGCCTCGACAGCTAAAGGATTTTCGACATTTTCTCTGAATCGTATTCTTTCCAAAATCTCTTCTGAAAACTCCTGATCAGATTCTAATCTCTTTCCAAAAAGGTTATTAAGAAATGATGTAATGCGGAAAAGTGCTCTAACTTTGGGGAGAATTTTATTATCAAGTTTATGGTCCAAGAGTTTATATTTTTGCTTCAAAATTCCATGGACAGCTTCCACTACCCAACGAAGTTTTGTTACAAAACGAGACTCATTAGACTCTTTAGTTGTCAACTGTTTACGCTTTCCTTTCAAAGCAGGCATTAAAACTTTGATATTTTTATCCTCTAAATCATTTTTGACATCACGGAAACCTCGATCCAGAACAGCATAATCACCTTCTTCTAACAATTTGCACAAACCTTCTGGATCTTTAAGAAGCATTTTCAAAATTTCTGCATCATTTAAGTTAGCTGGATATGGTCCTAACATGTCAACAATGAATCCGTCAGTTGTGCAAATTGTGAAGGGTTTGCAAAGTGGAACTTTTTTCTGTCCGGAAAAACTTTTTCGTTGAAACTCGTTGTTTGCACTTTTCTGGTGACGTGCGTAAGTGCCATCACAGATTACAAACAGCTTATCACTGACTTCAAATAAAATTTTAGCCATTTGTGTTGTGTGGTTATTTATCAGATCATCTTTGGTTACAGAAGCTAATCCAAAACGAGATGGCAGAACATCTTCTTCAAAAGCTGTGATTATTGAAGATACGTATTCTGAAACCAATTGTTCGTACTCTATTTGTAAAATAGAAGCTAAAAGTTTATTTGAATTACCTGTACGCAGTTTAAAGAGAAACACAACAAGTGCTTGAGTAACAGTGCGAGTTTGCCTATTTCTCATTGAAGTTAACATGTCTCTTAATTGTATTATATTTTCCCAATGTAAGCCAGTAAAGACAAGAAGCTGATTTTCAGGAAGAGTATAATCTGCAATTTTATCATACAAAGTTGAATCACATCGGATAGCGAGGTTTCCCATCATTTCAACCCATTCAGAAGAGCTTAAATAAGATGTGTTAGAGTACTTCTTTAGAAGATTAACATCATCCTCATAAAATCGATTTTTTATTAGATGCTTTTGGCAACATTTATTTCCTTCTGGTATATGGATCTGTTTTTTTATGAAAGCTTGTAAGCAAGCTTCCTTAGGGACTACTGTTAGATTTGTTTGGGAATTACAAAGACAGCAGTACTTGTGAGTTGAAACTGTCCTAGGTAGTTGAACTTCAATTTTTTCATAATTCGCTTTGTTTTCTACGGTTTTCAGATTCATACTAAATGTAGGGTCATTAGAACTGGATTCTGAATGATCACCATATTCTACAGAAAATGTGCTGTCTACATCTTCATCAAGTTTTTTCTTCTTATTTTGAAATAATCGACATTTAGAACACAAAATATCTTGAACTACAATCGTTTTTTGCAGATAATTAGAAAATATAGAAGCTTCCTCCTCATTAATAATCACTTTTTTCGTGCCTGATGTTTTGTGCAAATACTTGCTACAAGCAGCACATCTAGGATAATTTCTTGACGACATTTAATTTAAAGGTTCTTTAAATTAAGAATGAAATATAATAAAGAATCAACGTTTAAGACGGTTGGAGAATGTACTTATAATAATTGAAAGAGGTAAAAGTATTTAAATAACAATCACTAAAACAGAACAGAAATGAAAAGCAGTTTAAAAAAAATATACAACGATATGACGCTGAAGTTAGCGACGTATTCGCCAGCGACGGATTCGATAAGCAGTGGTTCTCACCCAATAGAATAATCGTTAATAACTCTCGAATAATAGCTTGAAATCGATTCAAAAAAATCATGAAGATCACATCTATCATACAGAACAAATTGCTACACTCATAATACATGTCTCGAAACTTGTAGTTTACATTAAAAAAATGTAAACTTTTTACGGTACTTTCCGGTAGACAGGCTTCGCAAGGGCCTGGCCCCTCGTATAGTATCAATTTCTATAAAACAATTAAAATTTACAAAATATAATTTTACAGGCCGGACGTTTGAAGTTGAACCCACAAGTAGGTATTTGAATGGTAGAATCATGTTTGGTCGTTAATAACACAAAAGCTGACTGATATAAACAGTTTTTTATTTTTGTATGTAAAAGAGCAAATCAAAATCTATCGATTGATATCAAAATTTCAAAATTTTTTTTCTGCAGCTAAGGTCCCTTTCACCGTGGAGCCTCACTATACACATTTTCAAGGATTTTATTTTTTAAAAGTACGTGCTACCCCTTCAATTGCTTTGGCCTTTGGGGATAATTTAGAAGGATACCAAAGGTACTTCAAGACCAAAAACTGTGATTGAGACTTAAACATAACCTAAAAAAAAAATTTTTTTAATTTTTTGAAAATTTTTTTTAAAACTATTTTTTTGGTAAATACACTTGATATTTTTTTTCTATATTTGTTTCATCGAGTACCATAACATATATTTTATTCATTAAAATCGGTTAAGCCGTTTTTGAAAAAAATGGATTTTTTGATTTTTCTTAAAACCCCCATAACTCCCATAAAAATTAATTTTAGAAAACAATCTTTTGGGAAAGCTAATCTTAGGTTAATACCAATCTACGGTAAAAAGAACGACCGGATCCGGCAAGGGGCAGTTCATGCATGCTTATCCTGCTATGCCCTTT